TCATGGCTGACGCGAGATTTGCCGAGTGAACAGAACGACTATCCAGGAGCATCAAGACTACAAGTAAGATATAAGGGGAAGCATTGCAATCGCAGCATTGAGCTGCTCACAATAAATAACAGCCCAGATCGTCTAACCGGGCACGCTGAGCTTTGCCGGAACCCCGGGGAGACTTCAGCACCGCCCGCAGCAACCAACCTTCGATCGAACTCGCGCACATCTTTTTCCCTCCTCCAAACCTCACAGCTGTTCTTCTCGCATCTCCCTCTCTCCCTGTTCCTCTTCCTCTCCCTCCATCTTGTTTCTTTTTTCTTTTTCTCTCTATTTTATATCATCTCTTGTTGTTTCTCTTCCTTTCTTGATTAATCATTCTTCTCCATATTGATAACTTTTTGTTTTTCGTTTTTGCCTTGTCTGGCCGCGCAATTCGCTTCCAGCCACCTCGATCCTTTTTTCTTGACTCGAGCCCTCTCTTCGCTTGAATTCTTCTCGTCTTGATTCGACACTTTTCCTGTGCCTTGACGGACTTTTCGAGCGTTTTCTCAGCGGCTTAGTGTGTTAGACCTCCAATCCCGAAATCTTAATTATATCTGGTGGTCTGTGGGCAACTTCTCGTCTCCCGACGGCCAACCAAAACCAAGCTGTCATCGCTACACGTTGACAGTCATTTATGCATTTTGGACGGATTACCCTTCGTTTGAATCATTTCTATTGATTCCTTATATTTTTATTCTCTATTTCATTCGAGCTTACGTATCCGTTCTGGTTCAACGACTCGACGACCCCGCCCTCCCCGATATAACAGCGTGAATACCTTTTCCCGCCCATCATTATCACCTTCTCGCAAGGAATATCATAGATTGGGAATATAGAGATTCTGCCTGGACTGAGGCAGACAAGGATATAATCGATAATGTTGCCCGTTTCACGACCCGACGGTCATATGAACCTCAACTACATTCCAACCACTCAGCCGATGTCAGGTCGCAGCTCTCCCGGTGATCTGTCTTCATCCACCGCGGTCAAGTCACCGTTTGGACCCTCCAATGGTCTAAATAACGCGGCCGGGTCAATCGGAAGTGCGCGGTTAGGGGCTGGATCCCCTTCTCATGATCTCGGGACTCGGCTGTACTCCAAGCGGTAGGTTTTTCTTTTTACCCCATGAGGAAGCAAACTTGTGTGGCGAAAGAACTCCTTCTGATGCTGGTTTTCTTATAATGTAGAGCACGAGAAATTCAAGCAGAGGAAGGCATTTCCCCCAACATCTGGGGCCCGCCAACTAGTGGCCACTCCACACCGCTGCGTGAAAACATCCCCGAGTCTCCAAGTCAAGATGGGTTTCCCGACCTGATCCCGACTTCCAGTGGCAGTCTCCATAGCACTTCCCGGAGAGCTCGAGCTGGCACTGTCCCTTCGCGGTTTTCGCCCGTCGGTAGCCTCCTTAGTGATCTGAACTCCCAGCCGCCCGTCTCCCAAAGCTCTCGACCTACGCCCTCGACAAGTCCCTTCCGCCCTGCCGGGGTGTCCGGAATTGACACTGGTGCGAATTCTGCTCCGGCTGCTGGTGGAAGCGGCACAGGTGGTGTTTCTCGCCTCCGGGCCGGCTCGATGCCTCAGCGAACCAACTACCTGGGGGGCTCTAGCCCATTTGGCCCTTCGTTGTTTTCGACCAACTGGTCCACCGGACGCGAACGGGCTAGCACTCTCGCGAGTATCCGGTCCTCGGAGGGACCAGCTTCACCCAGTCAGTCATCCTTCTCGAGGGAATCACTCGCAGACACCGATGTGAAGACGCTGGACTACCTGGGACTCGCAGAAACGCCACAACAAGCACGGGCCACTCTTGTGCGACCTTCTGTTGATGTGCTACTCCAGCAACAGCAGCAGCAACAACAACAGCAGCAACAGCAGGCGTCTGCATTGCCCCCTATGCTGGCTGAATTGGCTATGATGAAGAACAACAACCGTTTTAGATCATACTCAGTAAATGCCAAGGAGAAATACGCAGATGACGAGGATCTCGAATATGAGAACCGTTATTCGCAGGCTCCCTCGGGCACCGCGACCCCCTCCGCCGCAGCCACGGCCGCTCAGTTGGCTGCGACTCAGGCCCAGATCCATCAGCACAATCTTGCTGTTCAAGCCTTTGCCAACCATGCTGCTGGCCAGGCTGTCAACCGGCCTCGTGCCAGGACCGCTGGTATCCTGGAGACGCCACCCCAGCGATCCTCTATCCGCAACTACCTTGCCACGCCTTCGCGACTTGACAATAGCTTCAGCGCTGCCGATCTGCACATCCCGGAGCACGGCGAATATGATGAGTTGACCGAAGCGGTGCAGATGATGCAGCTCGCTGGAGGCAATGCTGCGAACCTGGCTGTCCGGCCAACGGCTGAGACGGCGGATGAGAACAACCAGGATGGCCCGACTCGCGCCCTGTGGATTGGTAGCATCCCTGTCTCCACCACTGTCACCTCTCTGGAGGCTATCTTCGGCATCTATGGCAAGATCGAGTCGACCCGTGTGTTGACCCACAAGAACTGCGGCTTTGTCAACTTTGAACGCATTGAGAGTGCCGTCCAGGCTAAGTCGTTGCTCAACGGCAAGGAGATCTTCCCAGGCGCAGGCCCTGTCCGGATTGGCTACGCTAAAGTTCCCGGAACCTCTGCTTCTGGCACACCGGGCGCTAATGGTATTCAGTCCTCTCCCACTCCCGACCCGAACTTCAAGTCAAACATTGTTGGCGATGGAGACAGGAATGAGGTTCTCGTTCCTCAGATTCCGCCCCTTCCGGAGCTGCAGCCGGAGATGACGCAGATTGTTCAGGAATTCGGTGCAACCGATGAGGATTCGGTCAACATTTCCGCTAGTATTCAGAAAGCAATTGCCTTCCAAGCATTCGAAGATGAGATCGCCACTATCCCCGAACCGAGCCAGACCCGGATGTTCGACGCACCCCGTCTTCGGGACATTCGCAAACGTATCGACAATGGAGCGTGCTCTATCCAGGAGATCGAAGAGACCGCTAATGCAATGCTCCCTGAAATTGCAGAACTATCTTCTGACTACCTGGGTAACACGGTCGTCCAGAAACTCTTCGAATACTGCTCTGAGCCCACAAAGGAGCGAATGCTGGGCCCTATTTCGGCCCATCTTGCTGAAATTGGTGTACACAAGAACGGTACCTGGGCTGCGCAGAAGATCATCGATGTCACCAAGACCCCATCTCAGATGCAGATGATTGTCGATGCTCTCCGTCCGTCCACTGTTCCCCTCTTCTTGGATCAGTACGGCAACTACGTCCTCCAGTGCTGTTTGCGCTTTGGTGCTCCCTACAATGACTTCATCTTCGAGACCATGCTGAGCCGCATGTGGGAAGTTGCCCAGGGACGGTTCGGTGCTCGTGCCATGCGTGCTTGTCTTGAAAGCCACCACTCTACCAAAGATCAGCAGCGCATGCTCGCAGCTGCCATTGCCCTTCACAGCGTGCAGCTTGCGACCAACGCCAACGGCGCTCTGCTGCTTACTTGGTTCTTGGACACCTGCACTTTCCCTCGCCGTCGCACTGTGCTCGCACCCAGACTTGTGCCTCACCTCGTCCACCTTTGCACTCACAAGGTCGCCTACTTGACTGTTTTGAAGGTCATCAACCAGCGCAACGAGCCTGAAGCGCGCGAGATTGTCTTGAAGGCATTGTTTTTCAGCCCGGGAGATGAGATCCTCGAGAAGATCCTGAGCGACCAAACCTCTGGCGCCACTTTGATCTTCAAGGTTCTTACTACGCCATTCTTTGACGAGTCAATGCGTACTGAGGTTGTCAAGAACGTTTCTAAGGTCTTGACGAAGTTGAAGGCTACCCCAAGCCAGGGATACAAGCGCCTGATGGATGAGGTTGGTCTTTCCTCCCGCGGAGGCTCACGGGACCACCATCGGGATAACTCCAGCGCAGAGAAGCAACAGCACCGCCCGGGGTCTCGGCAGACCAACCCCAATTTCCCTCAGCCAGGCATAGATAGACAGTTCAACGGACAGTTCCCGCCTATGCTCGCTCAGAACCTGGACGGCACCAGACCTGCTGACCAGCAGCCACCCTTTGACCCCTATGCCCTTAATGGTCTTGGCTCTGCCAACCCATTGAATGGCCTTGGTGCACCTAACGGTGGTGGTTTCGGTCAAGACCCTATGGCTCCTCTGGCCCAGCAACAGCTGCAATACCAAGCCTACCTGGCAGCACAGTCTCGGGGCGTTTCTCCCGCTGGTATCTACCCGCCAATGGGTAACTCTAACTTTGGATACCCGTCTGTGGATAGCATGCGCCCACTGCAAACGCAGCCCCCGCCTACGCAGATGAACCAGCTCAACCAGCAGGCCTACGCGCCACAGCAGTTCAGCCCTGTTCTCGGCTCCGCACAAATGTACCAGTATCCTCCACAGTTTTACCCTCCCCAGCCAGTACAGGGCCAGCAGGCTGCTGGAGGACGACGTGGACGAGTAAGTTCCTATGGCTTAGATTGACATGGAATCCAGGCACTAATGCATTACAGCGTTAATCCGGACTTATGACCTACTTCAAAGACTTGATCCGAGTCTATCTTCATGTATAAAGGATTTTCTTCTCTCTCCTACTCCTTTTATTCTTTGCTCCCTTATGAAATATAAAGAGGATTGTTTGGCGACATGTGTTCAATGACCGTCTCAAGGACCTTTGACCGACGCTGGATCGTCTCGGGAAAGGATGCGAAAAAGATGAAACGATACAGTGTGAAAAGTATTGCGACGACTGCTTGCTTGTTGCTCGGGGATATTGGAGCCTTTTTTTTTTTTTTTTTTGTTTGTTTGTTTGTTTGTTTGTTTTATTCTTGTCCAGCGCGTGAAATGACTAAATATAAATTTGTTACTTGGGTTTGCTACTTCTCGTGTATAGCTTGTAGATCTATAGATGCCAAATCTAGTACTAAGTGGACACGTGCTGCTAAAAATCTCGTAACCGCAACCTGAAATTACATTCTTATCCCACCCCATCCGCAACAATAACCAACTATGTGTGATGAAGCAATCCTCAATCCTCTATGAGAACGCCTCGCAAACCGTTTTCCTCATCGACATCCCTACCTCCATCACACTAGCTCAATATCTCTCCCGAACACAACAACTACGTTTTTCACAACCAGAACCATTAACAACTACCACTACATCTACCAAAGAAAGACAAATACTATCCACACCACCACTAAGGGAACCATACCGCTCACCCCCTGAACCCAAAACAGATGCCGCAAGGATAAGGCTTCTGGAGAGGATTCCCCTCGTTGAGCGGGAGTATCATGCAAATTTGATTGCGCCGGTAAGGGATGGGTTGGATGAGATTCGGGGATGCTACGACAAGGAGTGGTGTCTTGAGAGAGTTACCGTTGATTCTGGGGAAGAGTCTCGGAAAAGGTCGTTCGAGGATGTGCATGGTGACTATGACAGCTATGGTTATGGGTCTGAAGCAGTTGGTTCTCAACCACCCGTGATCCTATCGCCAACCTGCACAAACCACTTCTTGTCAATGACTGAGCTTTCCAATGCCATTGTCAAGAATCCATCGCAACAATCGGCATCACTAGTTATCCCGGGAGAATCTCCAGCAAAGCCACACATCTTCACCGTCCCAGCACTATCCAACTTTCTCCATTGCGCACTATCAACCTCCCAACCCAACTCAGCACAACACCTAATCCCAGGCCTCTCCAAATCCCACAAATTCAACCTAATTCTTCTAGACCCGCCATGGCCGAACCGATCCGTCCGCCGGAGTCGTCACTACAACACGCAGGCGTATTTCGACATGGATGGTCTTTCCGGGTTTATTCGCAATATTCTGCGGATGCATTTACTCAACCCATCCACCTACCTTCCTCCGGAGACAGAAACGCGAAAGCAGAGTAAAGAATGCATAGCAGCGATCTGGATAACCAACGCAGAAAAACCCCGGAAAGCAGCTTACGACGCTATTTATGATGCGGGGCTTGTTGTTTGCGAGGAATGGGTGTGGGTTAAGACGACTGCAAGCGGAGAGCCGATTATGCCTGTTGATGGGCTTTGGCGGAAGCCGTATGAGGTTCTTGTTATTGGGAGGAAGGGTGGTCTTGAGGAAGTGGGTTGGAATGGGGGGGTTGTTAGGATTATTGCGGCGGTGCCAGATGTGCATTCGAGGAAGCCGAATTTGAGGGAGGTACTTGAGAGGATGCTCTTTGGGGATTGTGAGTATGAGGCGTTGGAAGTGTTTGCGAGGAATTTGACGGCAGGGTGGTGGGGTGTTGGGAATGAGGTACTCAAGTTTAATGACGAGGAGTGGTGGGCTCTTGAATAACAATGTACTTTATAATCTTTTCACGTCTGCCCTTGGTATCAAGCTGCTACCATCCTCCAGAATCAAGCTCAATCAAAAACAGGGCCCAAGCTAACCAGGCTAAACCTCAAATCCGGATTTCCCCCAGCCGCCTCCGTCTTCAAAAACCTCCTCACACCCAAATTCAACGCCTTCTCACTCAACGCATCCTCGTCCTCCCCCAAAACCCCTCTCTCTAACGGTCCCTTCCGCCGTCCATCCAACTCCCACAACCGCCCATCACCCCCCTTCACAAACGCCACAAAATGCAAGTCCACACTATCCTCCGCCCCAGGCGCCTGCGTATCCCCCAACCTAGCCGCATCCGCATGGGCACTCTCCAACGCTTTACTCTCATACAGCAAATCTGCCCTCTCCACGGGCCCCATCCCCTCAGCCTCAGCTAGTAGCGTTTCCAAATCCGATCCCGGCACGATATTCCTCCTCGGCTCACCGTTCGACACCGCATGTAGCAGACCGATCAACCCGCACGCATTCCGAATTGTCTGCTTAAACCATGTCACCGGCTCATTTGGTCCCGAGCCTGTGTATTCGGAGAGAGGAGCATCTTCGGAGAGGCGGGATGCTTCGTAGGTTTGGGAGACGGGGAAGACGAGGAGGAGGGCGTGGGAGGGGCGGGGGACGAAGGCTAGGAGGTCGGGTTCGTCGATGGAGAAGACGTCGGAGAAGCCGAAGGTTGGGGGGAGGCCGAGTTGGTGGATTAGGTGGGACATTACTTCGGGGTTATTTTCTGGGGCTACATGTTAGCTGGTTTTGTTTTGATTTTGGGGGTAGTTGGTTGAGGGTACTAACCAAGAGGCACGAAGGCCTTGTTTGAATTCGGAGCGTCGGCGTGGTCTGCCATTGTGTGTGCAGATTTGTAGGAGTTTGATAGGGTAGTTCAATTCAGCAACAGGGGCTGGAGATAGTTTTCAAAATCCGAAAGTTGACTTTGGTAGAATGGGTATATAGGACGTTGGAGAACGTTTATTGAAGCTAAGCTGTGACGTTGCTGCGGGGCAGCCGAGTTGCCTATTTCGGCGATAAATTCACATGACATGCCCTTATTATCTATTGCTTCAGCCTATCCCAATCAAAATACTCACTCAACGCCTGGAAGATATGAGAAACTCCCTCCTCAAGGTCAAAGCATGCCATGATGTGTTGGTCTGGACGAATTAACGTCGCCTGGCCTTTTCTCAATCCCATCAGCTCAATCCATTTCTCACCGTTGACACCCGGCTGAATAACGAAGTCTCGGCCTTCTACGACCACTTGAATTTTTAGAGACGACGATAGCAGTCTCGAAAGTTGCAGGTGCTGAACATGTTTCTCCCAGTGTGGAGCCGATGATTCATCAGCAATTAGAGTGAACGTGTCGAATGGACACAAGTCCAGGGTTGAGAATTGCTTGGCCTGGACTTCTTCTGATGATAACTCTGCAACGTATGAGGAGTTGATAGCCGGTAGATTGATGATTCCTGGTGACAGAGGTTTGATCCAGGCATGGGGAAGTCGAGCCCCGGGTGTACAAGAGGGTTCGTACACCGAGGCATTCTTTGGGATCTCTCTGTCTCTATATATATACCCAATGTGAAGACCGAGATTATCAAAGTGCTCTCTTTGGCCCTCTATACCCTCGTCAATCTTCATGGTTTCAGGCTCTTCGATATTGCGATATAGATTCTCACGCGCCTTGGATGCATCAAGGTCTGTGGTTCCCAGTGCCTTTAGCAAGCCAAATATCTGCTTTCCGTTCTTTAGGCTCTGTTGAGAGTTAACCACTGCGACCTGTCGCCGGTCATACTCGTAGCTGTCCAACAAACTGTCTGCTGCAAATCCGCTGTATACAGCAGCCAGTTTGTACACCAGATTGTGAACGTCGCCGAGGCCGGAGTTTAGCCCTAGGCCTCCGGTGGGAGGGAAGGAGTGAGCTGCATCGCCTGCCCTGGTGACTAGTTAGTTTTTTTCTGGCTCAGTGTCTTGTGAAAATACCTACAGAAACACTCGGCCCTTGCGATACTGATTAGCAACTTTTCGGCTAATAAGCCATGGCCGATAACTGATCACATCGTAAGGGATTTCTGTGCCGATGGCCGCATTGACGATCCTCCTGCAGGTATCTTCCTTCCATAATTCAACAGGATGTCTCTCGGCCTGAGGCCAGTCAATATCTATTTCCAATAATTGCGTACTAGATACTCACGTCGAAGTTGCAAATCAGCACTTGATTCCCAGATAAATCATACCCAATGACAAACCCGGACACCTCGGGGTCCATCACCCAATGCAACATCCCTACCCTGTCCTTGACCACTGGTCGTAGGTCCGCATTGATATGGATGGTCATCATGGACTCATCTGTATCAGGCTTAGTACATGTCTACAGTTGGAGTCCAAGGCAACCCACAAGAATCCTCTCCTTCACTTTCTATTCCCAGAAATTGTCGAACCGGGCTCTTTGCACCGTCACATGCAATCACATAGTTTGATTTTATTGTATATTTTTTCTGCGCGCCTCGATCTTCAACCGTCGTGAGAACATAGTCACCATACTATCGATTATTAAAATCAGTCAGAGCAACCATGTCTTATTAGAGTAAGCACCTACATCCTGCAACCCCACAAAAGAATGATTCTTCCTGGTCTCAACCAAATCACTCTCCCCAACCCTCTCCGCAACATAATCCTCATACATCGGCTGCGTGACATTATGAATCATCTATTCACCAATAACCAGTTAGCAAAGCTCCGAAACCCTATCTAGTAGACATATACATACCGCAGGCGTCGCATCCAAAACACCCCTGTCCATCCTCTCATACGGCAACCTACCCACCAACTTCCCAGACAAATTCGTGATAAAATTGACCCAATACCCATCCTCTCGACTTGTCCCCAAATTCCGGATGTAGTTCACATCCAGGCCGAACTGGCGACAGAGCTCTAGGGAGCGCGGGGAGAGGGCGTGGGCCTTTGGAACATCGAGACGGGTTGCGTAGCGTTCGATTATTAGGGATGGGACTATTTGAATTGCATCATTAGGTACTTGATACGGGAGATCGTGAGGTTGTAGCAGAAAGGTGTAGCATACCTCCTAATTGGGATAACATGTATCCCATGGTTAGGCCTGAGGGGCCGCCGCCCACGATTAGGATTGGGATAGTATCGTTTGTTTGGGCCATGATATGTATATAGTGTAGAATAGCAACCGGCTGGTGTTCCGTAAACACACTGGTCGAGAATGATTCGAAGGCTATACAAGGGATCTTCGAGGTTATTTATTTCGCATTGATACGTTTGTCATTCTCATAGCTGGTGGTTCAACATCCTTGTATGCTTAAATTTCCCCACTTGGGTGGGAAAGTGGGAAAGCATCCTTTCCACACAAGTGAGGAGATACTTTGTAGATTGTTCTGTTGCGAAGTACAGTATGGACAATGTGAAGCTATATTGAATATCCAAATTAACTGTTCTAGATTCCACCACAATAAGCCCGAAGACAGTCCATTCAGGGGTTTCCAGGTTGTATAAAAATTTATTAACGTATGTAGCCTTCCTACAATACTTCAATGCACTATAACGCCATTTAATGCGCCCCAAATTCAGAAATGAACAATATTTCTGTCGTCAGACCCACTACGCGCGCCAGGTTATATGTAGGCCCCGGATTACTTGTAGGAGTTAGATCATCGGTAGGAGTCGAATTTGTAGACGCTGACTCGCTTGTAGATGTAGATATAGATGTAGAAGTAATCGACTCAACTCAACTGGTTGATTCTGCAACTCCTCCTGCTCCTTTTTCTTCTCAGCCTTCAATTCCTGAATCACACGCTGTAAAGTCCGTTTCTGTACCGCATACTCTATGGTCTCAAGCAACTCCTTATTCGTGGCTTCTGGATTACTAGTCAAAGCCTCCAATAACCGGTTGCAGTATTCCTCGGTCAGCTTCTGCAGTCTGCCAGATCGCGGTATCGTCCCTTTATTGTCGTGTAGGTGTTCGCGGGATATGGTTGTTCTGGTAGTGCCGACGGGGATTTCTGGGTGTTTTCTGTGTATTCGCTTGGCGCCCCAGCCGATTGAACGGAGTTCACATATGCGGGAGCATAATTGGGGAGTGAGTTCTTTCCCTCGGGACATTTTTCATAAGATTAAATGGAGTAATGTACTCTTTTATTGTATGGGCTCGAGACGCGCAATATGTATGCACAGCTTTATGGGTGGGCGGTCTATGGGGATAGCGCTCAAACTTATGGCAGAATGATCGTCTTGATAACGATAAGGCTAATCGTATACGGTATAGCGTCTATCTCGGTCCATCACCCGGGGAAATGTTGAGCCGCCAAAAATAATTTCTCCGCTCTGAATCTGCGCAGCTTCGATGCGCTTGAACGAAAGTCTCTACATCATAACTTCATTTACAAACGGTTTCTGTATTAATTTTATTATCCAACAAGCCTGAATCTATCGCATACCACTCCGTCACACATATTCACCATGGGTGTCCAAAAGAAGACTAGAAAATATGCGCAGGCATGTAAACCCACGGCATCGCGATAAGAAAAAACGGATATACTGACACTAGGTTTACAACGACAGATGAAACTCGCCATCAAGAAGCATGATGAACGTCTGAAGAACCCTCCGGCTGCCATCCCTAAAGACAAGAAGAAGGAAGAGTCGACCAGACAAGTCGCCCAAGCACCAACCAACATGTTCTTCGCTGCGAACACAGCCCTCGGACCTCCTTACCATGTGCTCGTCGATACCAACTTTGTCTCTCACACTATTCGGGCGAAATTGGATATGCTTCCTTCTATGATGGACTTGTGCGTGATACTCTTCGATACTGGGGAAAGTGGGATTACAGTTGCTAATGGGCGCTATTAGGTTGTATGCAAAGTGTATCCCGTGCTTTACTGATTGCACCATTGCCGAACTTGAAAAGCTTGGTCCGAAGTACCGGTTGGCGTTGCGAGTGGCCAAGGACCCCCGGTGGACAAGGCTTCAATGCGACCACAGCGGCACATATGCAGATGACTGTATTGTAGATAGGGTAAGTTGCTCAGCATTGGACCGATAAGTATCTTGTTTTATATTTTGCTAACATCAAATTGTATAGATATCGAAGCACCGTATCTATACTGTCGGAACAAACGATAAGGAGCTCACTCGCCGCATCCGCAAGATTCCTGGTGTGCCGATTATGAAGGTCGCAAGAGGCAAATACACCATCGAGAAACTGCCTGATTCCTTCGACTAGAGACCTTTGGTTAACAAATGTCTATTGAATTTGATGCGACGATATCCGGGACAGGGAAAGAGCCCTGCCTCAAGCGCTGGCTTTCCAGTCGACCCTTACAGGGCCCCAACGCGGCAACATTGGCCAGACCATGCCCTCGGGCCACTCATCTTCTGAGGAAGAAAGATATGTAGCGAGGTACAGATCCACATCCAGCCTTTTCTTCTTTGCGCGATGGCAGACCCTTGCACTATACCATGTACATACCTCATACCTACAAAGTACACAACGGTTAGGAGTTGGTTACATCATTATAATGAACAAACAAGTTACGAACGCCATGGATATTCAGTTGTCTTCGTAAAGCTAATCATGGTATTGGCTTTAAATTGCTTCATTTGCTCTATCTTACATATGCACATCATAAGTGGTGCATAAGTCCGCTATGCAAGGTTGTGTCGTAACCTCGACCATGGAAGCCTCCAAGCAGTGTCCCAGATTCACCAACATTTCCAGAAAGTCAAATTTCCATTTGTTCCAATGACAGGGGAATGCAATATTATAAAACACTGGTTCATAAGATCATCTCTGATGTCAGCCTACGTTTGTATGACTTCGTCTAATCAATTGGATTTGGAGACGCAACTTATATAATGGATTGTTCGAACCTCTTCCTCTATTTTCAACCAGAACTATACACAATCAACACTATCAATCATGACTTCTCAGCGCAAGGGTGGCAGCCTCTCCAAGGAAGCTGAGGACCCTTATCAGCCCCAAAACTTCTCTGGTAGTTCTGGCATTGGCACCCGCCAAGACGAGGACGAGTGGCTTCGCCAGCACGGTGCAAGCGGATTCTCTGGCTTCTCTGGCTCGAATAACCAACAAGAGGTATGTATACTCAAAGAGTTCTTTCTTGTTTGTCATCTGGTGTGTCTGGTACTGTGCTAATAGTGTCGGTTTCCAGTCTAATAATAGCCAGTCTTCTAGGGAAGGTGTTAAACTCGCTGAACCTAGTGAACATACAACTTTTGGCAAATATAGCTACACTCATGACGACTTGATTGACCCTGATGAGTAAGTAAAGGTGGAAGGCTGTCTGATGTTCTAATGTTTTTTGTTGTGTGATGGATTGAAATGCATACTGTGTCGGTGCGATTTGCTGTCAAGTATGCCAAAAAAAAAAAATACAATTTTGGTACTGCGATAGGACATGTAACGAAATCCATTCTAAATTCTGGCTTCACAGTTGAACCATGTAGCACAGATGATATACTCAAATGGCCAATTTAGTGTATTATAATAGAAAAGAGGTGAGTGAAGGGTACAATGCCAAAAATTAAACCATAGATGGATGATATAAAGAAAGAAAAACGATAGAATTATGTAAGGAACTAGGATACAGGTGGACGACATGGCAAGGTTTTGATCATTGCATAAATGAAGCATGTATCTTAAATGTTCTGTATAGCCGCAAGAAGAGCAGGTATTCTGTTTAAGTACAAACGGATATACGCCTATATACGACTTTGGTTCAATTAATACTAAGACAATAGCTACAGAAGCTATCCAGGGTCTGTCAGTGCTTCCACCTCGCTTACAATATACCTTGAATCATTGCACGAAATGATGGAATGAAGCTGTCTCTAGGACCGTGTTGCTCGACAGATCTTCTTCCCTTCTCTCTTCTTTAACTAGCAGGTATTGATGCTTTTTCCGCTTGCTTTATTCTCTCCTCTCGCTCCTTTTTCCAAGCTTCAATTGCCTCGAGTCTAAGGTCTTCTAGGTACTTTGCTCGACATAAAAAGCGTGAATAAACCAGAGACCCAAGAAAAGATTGAAGGCAAACAGAGAAAGAATAGTTAGAACGACCTTCATCTTGATATTCAATCGAGGAAGCAGGCCGTTTGAAAACAGAACGAATGATACACGATGGAACAAAAGAAGAAAGAACAAGGCTTGAAGAGCAGATATTTATATTAAGAAGTTGCTACGACGGCGTGAATATGCTTGGATTGGTCGATAGAAGATCAGTGCCAGTTATATTTCTTACAGCTGTTGGGGCTAGTTTCAATGAAGTTTTCCCTCTTGTATGTTGATGTTACCCAATGACCCTGACAGAGCATGCCAACAGTGGGAATTTGTCCACAAGGTCGGAAGTCTGAGGTGCTTTCAAAATGAAAGTAACGCAGAGTTTCTTTCTCGGCCATGCCGGTTTGTTAGTGTCAACAATGATTGCTGCGCTATTCGGAGTGAATAGAAGAACTCCCGATCACAAGGATAGACGATTTGGAGTCTATCAGTTGATTACTAAAGGAATTAATCACGAAGTTCAAAGAGACAAGTGCACAAAGAATGTATGTGTTGGCCATAGTTAAAGTATGCTGGCTGCATGGCCGTAGTCCCCCGGTCCAGTCCTATATCAATATCAAACGTATGTCCAAGATGGGTGAAGGAAGCGACTTTTGATTGGTAGAATCGGATCGACGAATATAGGTATGGTCCGGCTTTATATAAAAGTTAAAAGTTAACTAGTACTCGCGACTTCGCCCACTCAAAGTTTTCAAAGTGGAGTAACAGCCCTCGGTGTTATGTTGTGGGCGTCGACTTTGAGGACCTGTTGTAGTATCTGGGCAGCTTGTAGTTTCATTCTGTTTCGTAAAATCATACTCACGCCAAGTGGTGGAGTTTAGTAGAGATTCTGCAGGGGAGGGTGGTTCTCTCTTTTCGTGTAGTCTAGCCCTGTGAAATATTGGCCCTGGGACTTACTAGTTTGTAGCCTGTGACTAGTACTTAGTGAGCTAACTGTCCCAATTTATGGAGTAGTGGGATGCAATAATGATCCCAGCTTGGCCCCAGCCCCATCAAACATTGTTCAGCCCAGAAGAAAGAAGAAGAAGGAGAAGGAGAAGGAGAAGGAGCAGATAAGCTCAAACATAACAAGTTTGTTTGAGGCTGCATCTACCCAGCGGCCCCCACATACATGTCGATACCTACCTACAGAGTACATGACTATTACTACTCCGCACTATACGAATAGACATTGTTCCTAATACGATCTTTCAATACTGCCATATTGTTTGATTCACGACTGGGCTGGCTATGGTAATCAGTCATGGGAATTAGAGCACAATCACTGTCTAATCACAAGATACTGCGACGGCACGCAACAATAACAATAACAAATTGTTCATATATCGCTCATGCTCGAACCATGCTTGGCGAGTGGATATTCTTCTTCTTCCTCTTCCTTTTTTTTTTTTTTTTTTTTTTTTTTTTT